CGCTATACAAATGTAATTTTGTTGTTGTTTCGTCCACGAAACATACAGTCAATTTATTGTGAAGGATGCTTAACATCTTCAGCATCTTTTATTGGCATTTCTGTAGAGTTTGATGCACATTTTTTTTCTGTCCTCAGATTGATAAAAAGATCATGCATAAGGTGGGAATGGTGCAACGGATCCGTAATGAAGTAGAGATTCACTGTCAATTAAAGCATCCATCCATACTGGAGGTAAAAAAATACCCGCTACTTTCAACCAGCTGCTTTTATTTAGTTTGTTGGGAAAATAAGACAAATGCATGACTCTTGTTTTCTTTCAGCTTTACAACTATTTTGAAGACAATAACTATGTTTATCTCGTACTTGAGATGTGTCACAATGGAGAAATGAGCAGATATTTAAAGAACAGGAAAGCTGCTTTCTCAGAAGATGAATGTAAGTGAGTTTCCTCTTCCAAAAACAATTGAGGAATATATTAATTAATGAAATTCATATTCATGCTTATGCTTGTTCAACAGCTCGACACTTAATGCATCAGATCGTCACTGGAATGCTCTACCTCCACTCTCACGGCATCCTACACCGGGACCTCACTCTTTCTAACCTTCTACTTACCGGTGACATGAACGTAAAGATTGCTGATTTTGGACTAGCAGCACAGTTGAAAATGCCAAATGAAAAGCACTTCACAATGTGTGGCACTCCCAATTACATCTCTCCTGAGATTGCAACCCACAGCGCTCATGGCCTGGAATCTGATGTGTGGTCTCTTGGGTGCATGTTTTATACCTTTCTTGTTGGCATGCCACCATTTGATACTGACACAGTGAAAAACACACTGAACAAGGTAATGTTGGCAGATTATGAAATGCCAAACTTCATTTCAAAAGAAGCTCAAGATCTGATCTGCCAGCTGCTTCGAAAAAATCCTGCAGACCGCATTAGTTTGTCTGGTGTTTTGGACCATGCATTCATGATCAAGTGTTCTTTATCCAGGAATAAAGATTTAGGGAATACAGAGGACTCCATGGACAGTGGGCATGCTACAATCTCGACTGCATTTACCGCAGGAACAGGATCTGGCATTAGCTCAATGGGACGCTTGCATCAAAAGACCAAACACATCATCGGACAGTGTCTTCCGAACAAGATGGCTGTTATCACCTCACAGAACAAAATTACCAGTGCTTCTTCATCCATGGAGGGCATTTCAGTCTTCAATGAAAGAGGAGCTCAAAGGGTTGAAGTTTCCAAGGGCGGTAGAGGAAGAACTGTAAAACAGACAGAGGAAGAACGACCTCACTCTCGCTGGCTCCGAAGAGCACACTCCACAGATCGGTCTGGTACCTCTCAACATCACATACTGGGAAAGCCAGATAACATGGAGCGATCTCATTCTGTTGAAGCTCTCACAAAGTCTGCCAGACCTGGAATTTACAGTCCAGCAGACATCTCGAGAGACACAGATGTTTGGCCTTTTTGTACAGGTGCTGTAGGAAGCTTTGGCTCCGACGGCACATGTAGAATTTCTCCACCAGTGAAACAGACAGCAAAGTAAGTAATGGTAAACCACTGCTCTGTTGGGAGGAAAGGAGCAGTTTAAAACTATGGGGGTAAAATTAGCCTGATTCTTCTTTCAAAGCTGGCGTACCCTGTTGCCCACCAGGTGGCAGCACACTCCTGAGTGGTTGCTTCCTTTTGAGGCCCCATTGCCTCCCATTTTTTGAATCCCGAATGGGAGATTAACAGGTTTCTGATTTCAGAACTACTGTGTGTACAGAGTTCCAGGGCTGGATCTATAGGGAAATATTTTTGGACCTATTTATAATGTGGGTGTTGAAGTTGTAAATTATGGATCATCTGTCAGACTCTTTTGTGTTGGGTATTTCTTATAATAATTTGATAATAATCATCCTTACATTTGATATAACGCCTTATCACATATTCGAGACGTTTCAAAGCGCTTGATCGTTCTAGGAGGACTAAACTTGGCTTATTTTTATCAATCAGCCAGAAGGCCTTGAGCCCATCCTGTTTGATTGTTTAAAAGTTAATCAAACATTGTTTAAAAGTTAATCAAACACCCGAGAGAAGGAGTTTAAAATTAAATAAATAACGATTATAAAAGTTCTTGCAGTGGGTTAACTTGTATCAGATAAACTGTCTAGGTTGGAGAATTCTGTAACCAGGGATAATAATCTCTTCTAAATGGGCTTAACAGGTTTCTGATTTTAGAACTACAGTATGTACAGAGTTCCATGGCTGGATCTACAGGGAAATATTTTTGGATGTATTTATAATGTGGGCGTTGAAGGCCATGGTTAATTTGAGTGATTGGGAGAAAAGTTTTGGCTCATGCAGAGTCAGGTCATATGTGTAGGCTAAAAAAAGACATTTTTAAAATTCACCTTGTCGTCAGCTTCTTTCAACTCGCTTATAAAAGACTAATCTTTTCTCCTTTTATTTTCAGCCCAAATTTTGCTTACCAGCACATTTCCAATGTGCTTCCCTTGAAGCAGACGGCACAGGCTGATGCAGCACAGCAGTGGTTTGAAAATGCTCAGGTGCCAAATGGTACCTAATAATGTTAATATAAACTATTTCTGTTTAAGTACTTTTCATTTTGTTTTTTCTCTTTCCCCCCCCCCATTTCCTCTCCTGCAGTTTATTTATGCCACACACTTTCATCAGCTAAAGTGAATGGCTAGAAGCTTGCTTGCAGCCTTCTGCCAATACCATCCTACAGCTGGCCAAGTGGTAGTGTGCAGATGGACATATGGCAACTGGTTCTTTGTGTTTTCAGAGCTGCAATTTATTTGTCATGTGGGTTGCTTGTTGGCAAGTCAACAAGGGGGAATAAACATAAGAGAGCTGATCTAATCTGAAAGGGTGTTTAGGGGGAAGGTCTTTATACAGAGTTGGTGTTTGCAACTGAGGCAGCTCCAGCTCAGAGTGGCTGAGCTGGAATCCGAGGTGCAGACACTACGGAGTATCAGAGACAGTGAGTGCTTCCTGGATAGCTACATCCTGGAGCCAGTCACTCCCCTGAGGGAATATACAGTCAACATTGGTTATGGTCAGGATAGGTCAATGGACAGTCAGGAGGACAACGGAAAGGGTGGTAGTAAATCCGGCATTAACCTTGAACAACAGGTATGAGATCCTCGGTACTTGTATCGACAAGGAAGCTGGTGAGGTGGAAGGAAAAACTACCTCTAACACTGGGGCAAGCGAGCGGATGGTTGTCGTCATTGGGGATGAGACTATTAGACAGGCAGACCCAATCATCTGCAACCCCAACCAGAAGACCCGAAGGCTTTGTTGCCTCCCTGGGGCCAGGGTGAAGGATGTCTCGGCAGGGCTAGAGGATAATTTAAAATACAAGGGCAAGGATCCGTTGGTGGTACTTTACACAGGTACCAATAACATCGGTAGAGTTGGCCAAGATGACTTGAGAAGGGAATTCGAAGAGCTGGGGTCCAAATTGAAGTCGAGATCATCGAAGGTGGTCATATCAGGACTGCTGCCTGTACCATACGACAATTGGTACAGGAATGAACAAATTAAGGACTTGAATGCATGACTAAAAGAGTGGTGTGGAACTCAGGGGTTTCTTTTTATGGGCCATTGACACGAGTATTGGAGGAAAAGAGAGTTCTTTCAGAGAAAATTGTGCTGGGACAACTGTTCTAGCCAAACAAATTAACAGGGAAACAAATAGGAATTTAAACTAGTAAAGGAGGGAATATATAGGTAAGAGAAACCATAAGTTAGCATTAGAAAAAGTAAAGGTGACAGTGCAGAATAGCATGCCAGATAATAGGAATATGTTAACTAGGGGTAAGAAGCTTGGCAAAGCAGATAAGGAATCAGAGAGTAGAGGAAATGGTAGGAAATTTTAAATGTTATATCTGAATGCGCGAAGCATTCAGAATAAAACTGATAAATTAAAAGCACAGATAGACACATATGGGCACGATCTAGTAGCCATCACTGAAACATGGTTACAAGGAGATCTAGGGTGGGAGTTAAATAATCCAGGGTTTCTCAGTTTACAGGAAAGATAGGCACTGTGGGAAATGAGGTGGGGGGATAGCCCTCTTAATTAGGGGTGAAATGAAAGCAGTGGAGAGGAAGGATCTGAAATCCGATGACCAGGAGGTCAAGACAATATGGGTGGAAATAAAAAATACGAAAGGGCAGAAAATATTAATGGGAGTGGTTTATAGACCCCAAACAGTGATCACAATATAGCAGAGTATTAATCAGGAAATCAGTAGAGAATCTAGGAAAGGTAAAGCGATATTAGTGGGTGATTTCAATCTCCACATAGATTGGGAAAACCTAATTGCCAAAAGTAGGTCAGAAGAAGAGTTCATTGAGTGTATAAGAGATAACTTTCTAGAGCAGCATGTCGAGGAACCAACCAGGGGATAGGCCATCCTAGACCTTGTTTTGTGTAACGCAACAGGGCTAGTCAGCAGTGTAGGTATTAAGAATCCTTAGGGCAGAGTGATCACGATATGATTGAATTCTGCATTAAGTTAGAGAGGGATATAGTTAAATCCCAGGCAAGTATTCTGAATTTAAATAGGGCTAATTTTGTAGGTATGAGGAAAGATTTAGGTAAAATAGACTGGAGTATAAGATTAAGAGGTAAAAATGTAGACCAACCGTGGCAAATATTTAAGGATGTAGTGCAAAATTCTCAGCGGTCGCATATTCCCTTGCGGAATAAGAGTACCACAGGGAAAGCAATTCATCCGTGGCTAACTAGAGCAGTTAGGGAAAGCATCAAATTAAAAGAAAACACTTATAAAACTGCCAAGAAAAGCAGCAAATCTGAAGATTGGGAGAGTTTTAGAAACCAGCAAAAAAAACCTAAACTCATTAAGAGCGAGAAAAAGGAGTATTGTAAGCTAGCTAGGAACGTTAAGTCAGATTGTGAAAGTTTTTACAAATACATTAAGAGGAATCGGCTAGTGAGGGTAAATGTAGATCCACTTCAATCAGAGACGGGAGAAGTTGTAATGGGGGATAAGGACATAGCAGAGTCCCTAAATGGGTACTTTGCATCTGTCTTCACCCTAGAAGACACAACAAGTTTGCCAACAATAGATATGCACCAAGGAGATAAGGACAGGGAGCAACTTAGGGAAATTTTCATTAGTAGAGAATTGGTGCTAGGGAAACTGTTAGCACTAAAAGTGACAAATCCCCTGGTCCGGATGGCTTACATCCCAGGGTTTTAAAAGAGGAGCTTATGAGATAGTGGAGGCCTTGTGTCTGATCTTCCAAAATTCCTTGGATTCTGGAACAGTCCCCATGGATTGGAAGATCACAAATGTCACACCACTATTTAAAAAGGTGGAAAGGAAAAGATGAGGAACTATAGGCCAGTTAGTCTCACATCAGTGATTGGAAAAATTTTAGAATCATTGATTAAGGATGTGGTAGTGCGGTATTTAGGGGAGCACAATATAATTAGGCCAAGTCAACATGGCTTTACAAATTTTGAGGATATTTTGAGTAAACTAGATATGGGTATATCGAGTAAACTAGATAAGTGGATGTGGTCTATTTGGACTTCCAGAAGGCATTCGATAAGGTGCCGCACAAAAGGTTAGTCCAAAAGATAGGGGCCCACGGAATTGGGGGGAGCATATTAGCGTGGATTGGGGAATGGTTAACGGGTAGGAAACAAAGAATAGGGATAAACGGGTCCTTTTCAGATTGGCGGGATGTGACGAGTGGAGTGCCACAAGGATCAGTCCTTGGGCCTCAGCTATTTACCATCTACATCAACGATCTAGATGAGGACATCGAAGTTAATATATCTAAATTCGCAGATGACACAAAACTAGGAGGAAGTGTCAACACAGAGGACGACATTAAAAAAATGCAGCGCGACATAGATCGGTTAGGTGATTGGGTAGGTAGGTGGCAGATGAAGTATAACGTAGGGAAGTGCAAATTCATCCACCTAGGGAGCAAAAACAGTAGAGCAGGTTATTTTTTAGAAGGGGAGCGATTGGAATGTGTTAGCGTCGAGAGGGACTTGGGTGTCCTTGTACACCAATCACAGAAAGTTAGTCTGCAGGTGCAGCAGCAATTAGGAAGGAGAACGGGATGTTAGCATTCATTATGAAAGGATTAGAGTATAAGAGTAGGGAAGTCTTGCTGCAACTGTATAGGGCCCTGGTGAGACCACACCTGGAATACTGTGTGCAGTTTTGTCTCCTTATTTAAGGAAGGATGTACTTGCCTTGGAGGGGGTGCAGCGTAGATTTACAAGGTTAGTACCAGGGATGAAGGGGATGAGCTACGAGGATAGGCTGACCAATTTGGGGCTATATTCTCTTGAATATAGAAGAATTAGAGGGGATCTTATAGAAACCTATAAGATCATCAAAGGGCATGATAGAGTAGATAGTGGGAGATTGTTTCCCCTGGTTGGAGAAACTAAAACCAGGGGTCACAATCTTAAAATCAGAGGCAGCCCTTTCACACTGAGTTGAGGAAGAACTTCTTCACTCAAAGGGTGGGGAATGTATGGAACTCACTACCCCAAAGGGCTGTTGATGCTCAGTCCTTGAACATATTCAAGACTGAGATAGATAGATTGCTTATTGCAAAAGGAATTAAGGGATATGGGGATAAGGCAGGGTCAGGTTATTAGCTGGAGTTAGATTAGAAGATCAACCATGATTGAATGGCGGGGCAGGCTCGAAGGGCCGAATGGTCTACTCCTGCTCCTACATGTTATGTTAATGTGGAATTCAATTCTGGAAGCTGTGGTTGAAGCAATGCATATTGGTGTATTTAAGAAGAAAAGCTCATGAGTGAGATGAGAATAGTGGGGAATAAAAGCAGTGTGGTGTATAAACACCATCATGGGTAGAATGTCTGGTTTCCATGCCATATCATTCTGTGTACTTGTATATGAATAAGGAGCTAAAACAGATTAAAACAGATCATGTCAATCTTTTACATTGTTCATTTAGATTTAATTAGATTTTTTAAAACAATTTCCCCTTGTAGGTACGTTCAAAAAACCAGTGGATGTCAGTTCCCTCAGCAATGCCAGTGGAAGTTTCCTCAGTGGAAGAAGGCACCAAATTCAAAATGAAGCAGTTTTAGTGAAGGCATGGGGGAAAAATCCAGTCAGCAAATTCAAAACTGATCCACTTCACAGGGACCATTTCAACAAGCAGACGATTCAGAGATGTGAACAGGTGCCACTAAAACATCCCAGACAGGGGGATTACAGGCAACCGGATGCAAAGTATGACACTCATCCAGTGTCCAAACAAGAACATTCCGTGCAAAGTGAAATGCAACACACTGAATACCAAATGAATGCGTTATGTGACAAGGTGTCGCCTTTGAGAGCACATAGGCTTAAACCAATTCGACAGAGAACAAAAAATGCAGTGGTAAGAATTTGCAAAATGAACTCCTTAAAATCATTTGGAGATTTTTACATTGTAATGGATTTGTTACAGATTTGTTTGCCAAATAGAAGATTGACAATTTAATTAAACACTGTCACCAGTCTCACTCACTGGTTGTAGCACTTTTATTGCAGGAAATGAGCAATCTGAGTCATCCACACGTTTGCATTAGATACATTTTCTCTCGTCTTCGGATTTTTTTTGTGGGATGAAGATATAACATGTAGATGTGACCATTCTGTACTCCCACATGCTCACCTCAAAATGGTAATATTTTAACCAATGTTGACTAGGGACTTTTATTAATTTTGTTAATAGCCTGTTAATTCCTTTCAATATCTGGTGCTTCAGAAACTTACATCGGCAAATAAACATAGGCATATTTTAATAGAATTTTTAGGGAGCTTTCATGAGTTCCGAGAGCCAACTTTGCAAATCTAAATGCTTTCTTTCCATCAGTAAATCATAGAATACACTTGAAAATTGGCATTTTACTCAACATGTTCTGGCTCCAAATCCCCCAAATAAAATTGGTCATTTGTTTCAAGGCTGTTTGTGGGACATTGCTTCCACATTTGCCTATAAAATAATAATAATAATAATCTTTGCATTTGATATAGTGCCTTATCATGTCTTTGAGACGGCTCAAAGCGCTTCACAGAATATACTGTAAAGTGAATTGACTGTATATTTTGCGGGCGAAACGCGGCAGCCAATAATAATAAGATGAACCACAAAGTGCAGTTGTGACAACAGATTTATCATGAGTGCTCAACAACTTGAAGACATACTTTTACTTGAGTTTTGTTTAAAACCTAGCCTGAGATTCTAGACTAAGACCTACCATGTTATAATTGAGTTTCTCTATATTGTGCACTTGGTGTCATTTAAAATATGTTTATTTGATTTGAAATGGCTAACATTTTTGTGTTGCAATAATTCATCTATTTAATTTACTCATTTTTCAGGTGAGTATCCTTGACACAGAAGAAGTGTGTATGGAGCTTCTGAAAGGAAGCGGTGCTCAGGAACGTGTGAAGGAAGTGCTTAGAATATCCTGCGATGGATACACAGTAAGGTTTCTTTTGTAGTGTCTATTTTGATTTATCCTTACTGTAAGGAGAGGGTCTGTATGATAGCTTTGGAACTCTCTCCCCTAGTCTCTCTGCCTTGTCTTCTCCTTCTCCTCTTTTAGATCGACTGAAGACCTTCCTCTTCACCGTGCTTACAGTCACGGTCACCTCCTCCCTCTCCGGAGTGCTCCAAGACGTTGCCCCGCCTGAAGGGCGTTATATAATGCAAATTTTTAAGTGAACTCTGAAAGGCTCATTTTATCTCAATCAGAATTCTCATATTGATGGTTTAAAATTTCCAATAACTATCTGAATTGGCTTTAAGAATACCCAGCTCCTCTGAAAGAGCGTTTCTGCTTCAAGTTATTTCCATTATTTTACAATAATGTCTATCAGTTTGGGCTCAAATGTGAAGAAGAAAGATGCTATGCAGATCAGTTTGTTTATAAGAACAACATAGATTCTGTTTTACTGCTTCACAGATTCATATTTATCATCCTAATGAGGGAAGAGGCTTCCCACTGGACGACCGGCCACCATCTGCCCCAGAGGATGTATATGTTTACCATTTTGATAATTTACCAGGTATCTATTGCTGAATAAACTGCCAAACAAATCTCTTTGACTTTTTGAAAGTGAAGTCCTGTGAATTGTTTTGATATTTCATAGATATTGAACTGATTGAAGACTTCAATCAACAAGAAATGTTTTGGTGTAAACCAGCCTGTTGTTTTTTCACCTTGATGTTGATAATAATAATAATCCTTGCATTTGATAGCGCCTTATCACATCGTCGATGTCTCAAAGTGCTTCACAGAATATACTGTAAAGTGAATTGACTATTTTGTGGGTGAAATTATTATAAATTGTTGATCACAAGCTAATGTGAAAAAACAGAAGTCTTGGGGCTGACTATCTTCCTGTAATTTTTTATGAACCTATAATCTTATATGCACTGAATTTTTAGGATGTTGAATTTCTAAAAATGCTGCTTATATGAATGTTTGCTAGCACAGCTGCCCAATGGCTAAAGGTGTGGTATCACTGATACTGTTTTACTTATTTTTTCAGAAAAATTTTGGAAGAAATACCAATATGCATCTAAATTTGTCCACTTGGTGAGGTCCAAAACGCCAAAGGTTACCCTGTACACTAAATATGCCAAATGTATGTTAATGGAGAATGGCCCAAAAGCTGATGTCGAAGTCCTCTTTTATGATGGTGAGGAGTAGTGTAGGAATGTTATTTTTATCACCAATTGCTTTTGTTTAGTATGTATTCTTTAATATTTTCAAACCTTCATTAATAGGAGGAAAAATCAACAAGACGACCGAGTTCCTTCGCATCGTAGAGAAATCTGGGAAGTCGTATACTTTTGATGGAGGAAAATTGAATGGCTTAAATGAAGAAGCAAAAATATATGTGGAACATGCACACAAGGTAAACAAATCCATCTATTTCATGGTATGATTCTTTTTAATAATCCCCTGGAGTACCCTATCACATTGAATTGTCTTAAAGCATTTCACAGTTTTCTGGAAAGTGATATTTATTTGTAAGGTGAACTGCGCAACCAATTTGTACATAGAAATATCCCACAAGCAGCTATAAAGTGAATTACTAATTTTTATTTGGAGGACTGTTGGCCTGGATACCAGGAAAAGCTCTCTTTTTGAGTATTGTCATAGGATCTTTAATGTCCAACTGAACAAGCAGACATGAATGTAGTATTAAATATTCTGTGTATTCCAGTAGGTGAAATGGATATTGTTGCAGATAATGCTATAATGTTGGTAGTTTGTGCCTGAGGCTGCAGTTTGAAAGCTGCAATTATATAATGCAGCCCTGCTATATCGGGCAAATCGCTTATAATACGATTGCATTGTGTACCCCATCCAGTGTGTGTGCACACAGCTGTTGGTCACATGCATACGTAGTGAAAGCTGCTGCCACGCTTTGTTTGCCGGATGGGGATTTAATCCCAATCACCATGTTATAATGAGGATGCACTGTATTAAACTTGAAATCTGTATAAATATAATTTTGCATCCATTCCACAGGCCCATCAGACATGCCTCGAACTGGAATCTACTATAGCAGCACAAGAAAAAAGGAAGGAAAAGCAGCTTTCATTTTTCCCAATAATTATTGGAAGGTAGAATATGAACCTATTAAATCTTTTTGTTTTTGTATTAGAGAAAGGTTTGTAAAATATAAGCATGACATAGTGCAATAGAAATACAGTTGAAACTTCAAAACTAAATACTGTAGAAGTTTTTTAATTGATGACTGTTTATTAGCCCCTCTGCTTGGCGGACACCGGCCTACTTCAGTTCCCCTGCACTTCTTGCCCCACCATTGGTGGTCAGACATTCAGCATCTCTGCCCCCACAATCTGGAACTCTTATCCCACGATCTCTGCCTCACCCCTTCTCTTGCCTCCTTCAAGTCCCATTTGAAGACCTTCCTCCTCAACCATACCTTCAGCCACAGTGCCTTCAGCAACCGTGCCTTCAGCCGTCCTCCACCCCTCTGGACCTCAACTTCCAGCTCGGGTCCAAAACCTTTTGACTGTCCAGCGTCCTGGGCCATCTTTCTGATGAAAGTAATTTATTATTGTTCTTGTTTGCGTTGCATTAATAAACACTGCTGGGTGCTTTCTGTTGTAATAGGAGGCCATCTAGCACAGAATCTGTGCCATCCGTATCTCGTTCAGTGGAGCCACAATGCATAGTGCAGGAGCAGCCAATGATTCTGGACAACTATTCTTCTAGCCAGTCAGCAAGCATTAGTCCCTTTGTAAGTAAAAACTTCAATACTTATCAAAAAGACATCTATAAGCAAAGAGCAAACATTTTATTTTAGTATTCTATAAATAACACGGGATCAAGCCCACTTAATAGTGAATCAAACATTAACACTCTGCCTCTTAAGAATTTGAATGTTGTCCACAGTGGTTTTGCCATCCGCGGTCACATAAAGCCATCTCTACGGGGCTGAAGTTTTTTCCCCTAGTTCCTAGTGGGCATGCTACACAAGACAGCAGCAGGGTGGAAGTTTTCCTTTTGTGGGTTATAATGAGGCTGCACTGTCTTACATCTCAAATCTATATCAATTTCATCTTGGATCCATATCACAGGTCTTCCAGCTCCAGGCTCAATAGTGTATCACTCTCTTTTAGTTGGATTTCTTGGTTTAAGGTCTTGAGGATCAAAGCTCTCATTCCTGCAAGTGATTTCAGCTCGGGTGCAAACCCTTCCCCATCCAGCTCCTTGGGACGTCCTCCCGACAAGAGAGGCGCTATAAAAATGCAACTTAGTTGTTTTTGTTGAAGCTAGCCAGTGTATTAAGTTTAGCCTGATTCCACTCTTAGTGCTGAAAGCCAATCAGCCTTGTGTTTTCAATGATTTTTGTACAATAAGCCCAAAGGTTATAAAAAGGGAGGAATTTTTTCACGTTTTGCACATTTTGAGAATTTTGTTTGTGATTTTTACAGATGTATTCATATGAAGGTTCAGATTTCACCACTGCTACTACGGTTTCTAAAATGAAACCTTCATCACCCACTCAGACTGTGAAGTATCCAAATGCAGCCCAGGTGCTGAAGTCTGTGTTTGTGCCGAATGTTGGTTGGGCCTCCCAGGTATGCAGAAAGTTTCATTCCTAGCAGGACTATGTTGAAGGGATAGGCAAATGGCCTTTTCAATTATTCTCTTTCAGAATTTTAATTTCTAACAGACTGCAATAAAAACTTACAAATTGGTGTGTGTGCGTGGGTTAGGGAAAGGTTTGGAGAAAGAAGCTTATTAGGATGACTAGAATGGCCATGTTTTAAAGACAATTTTAAAAAAAAATTCACGATTTTTATAAACAGGCTATGACTTTGGTTAGTATTATAAAGTATCCATGAGTGAAATTATTCACGTGTCTATGGGTTTCGTCTTGGTGGATAGTGATTTCACATGTTTAAGGGCATGTCCAGCAGTAGTTGGAAACGTGAACACCGTTTGGTTGAGGGGGTTGGAGGTGGGTTTGTAGTTGTGCCACAATTTCAAAAGCCTTTGCCACAAGTAGTGCTGACTTCAATTCCCAAGCTGACTTTGTAGGGAAGCAGGATTATATTTTTATAAAGTTGGATGTTTTTAAAAGAGGAGAATGAAGATTATAGCAGCGCTTTGGGGATGTGGATAGATAGGCTTTCAGATCTAATTTCAACAAAATATCAGATTTCATACACTAGTAAATTCTGTTTTCAAACTGAGCACAAGATAAAGTATATCCATTTTGCTCCTTTATTGAATGTTTTGTAGAAGTCATCAACATGAGGGAGGCACCCTTTTAGCTACTAATATTTCCCATTTGAAAAGGCAGAGCTCCAAGAGAGGTTTGCTGAGCTGGGATGAAACTTCTGAATTAGCAGCTGAGGTAGTGTATTCCCTGTACAGTCAACTGAGGTAGTCAATTGGTAATGCTAGCTTATCTCAACTGACTTACAAACTCAGGAGGGAGATTGTTTGTCACTATTCAATCTTCTAATGCTGTCAGAGGTCTCTCAGTATCTTGACTGCTATGTCCTTTGGGTCAGTTGGACATGTTTCAGGAAACCAGAATGCAAGGAGAGAATCTATAAAGAACTACTTACATTTACAGTGCCATTTACATTAAATAAATGTCCCAAAGTGCTTTACAGAATGAGAAATTTATTGAATGTTATGAAGACAAACATATGACAGCTGATTTGCTAACCTCTACTTTTGAGGTGTCTCAAAGACGTGATGTATATATCAAATCCAAGGATTATTATTAATATTATTACTTTGAAATAGTGATAGGGGATCCCTTTACAACCACCTGAATTGCAAGGTAGAGTGGAACCTAAATTTAACACAATGCAAAAAGGGATAACGATCTGGAAATAAACTTTGAAAATATTTAATGAAATTTCACAGATGGGAATTACTTATTTTCTGAGCAAGATGCCAAAGTGGATCAGTTCAGCAAGGGACGTCACCAAACTTTTATTGTGAAGCACAATAACAGACATTTCTGACAAAATGTCCAACTTTAATAGTTGTTCTTTGTGGCAGAATAGAACAAGAGTTGCAAATTCATGAACTTCAAGTAAAACAATAGTAGTATAGTAAGCAGTAAAAAGTAATAAACTGGAGCATGTGTGTAGAGGACAACAATTAGATGAAGAGAATGGAAATGAGTTGTTTCAAGGCAGACATGTAGAACATTTGGAAATTATTTCTGTTTTTCACCTCATGAAAGCGAATTAATTATAATAATCCTTGCATTTGGTGCACAGGGCCTTCCACATCAGGATATCCCAAAGCGCTTCACAGGATATACTGTAAAGTGGAGTGATTGTGTATTTTGTAATTGACAACAGGAGATAAATGTAGTCGTGAGAGGTGGGGGAATGGGAGTGGAATTGATGGACCTTTGGCTGCAAGTATCTATGATAACAGTATGCATTTTCCACAACAAACGTTATATCTTTCAATTACATTATCTTCTATATGCCTTTTTTGCTGTTGCATATATCTAATAATAATAATCCTTGCATTTGATATAGCGCTTTTTACGTTACCTACTTACTGCTAGGTAAACAGGCATGTGGACTTGCCCAACATTTCGCCCTGCCGGGAATCAAACCAGGTCTCTTGCCAGACGAGTGCTGTAACCACTGAGCTACAGAACTCGACTAGATAAATGCCAGCACCTACTAATTGGGTCGAATGGCCTGTTTTGGTGCTGTAGATTCTATGTAATTCTCATTCTGTTTTGACAGCTAACCAACGGTGAAGTGTGGGTTCAGTTTAATGATGGTTCCCAGCTCTTTGTACAATCAGGAGTCACATCCATCATCTACACATCTCCTCAGGGGCAGATAATAAGGTAACCAGTCGCTAAGACATGGACTAGAGCACTCGTTCCACATTTTCTCCTCCCATACTTTTTCCCTCCCATATGCCTAACTTCAGGAAGTCTAGTTTATTTGCTGCATTGAACCTGGATTGATTTCTCACCACTGACCAACCGGGCAGGTATTCTTCCCACTCACCTTGTTAACTCTGCAAGTGAACAATGCGGGTGGTCCTAGCTGGACAAGCAAGAGGAAGCTTGTCAAACAATGTGTTTTTAGTTAGTTAACTACAGCAATACTCCCAACACTGCGGGGTCCCCAAGCTCTTGCCAACCTGTGGCTAATGTTTTTCGGAATTAATTAAGCAAGGTGCGTTCCTCCAAGGAGAGAGTGCACATGCCATTCCAGACAAGGAAATTTCTATGCTTGGAAGAATGCATGTCTGGTTTGGACACTTGTAAGCATGGTGAAGGTTTTCCACGTGTCAGTCGCCTGGCTCGCTGGAAAAACATTTTGAGATGTTATCTTACCTGAAAGGTGTTAAACAAATAGGTTGTAATCCTAAATCTATTCAATTTTTAAGATCATTTAGCACACATCTTTGAGACAAAGATAATAACATAGAAAGGATTTTTTATTTAAATGTTGATAAATTACTCAAAATGTCATACCAAACTGCCTCTAGATGTCATTGTTGCTCTTAAGGCCTTGATTGTGGTAAAAGGATATTTCAATTCCTATCCACATTTAAACAAATCACCATTCTCCAGCTCTTCATTTTCATTGCTATTATTTGTAGAACTATGTTACAAATATGAAGGCTGTTTTGAGTATTTAAAGTATTTTGTATAGATTGTAATTTCGCTGAAAGCTTAATGATTTAAATGGTTTGTAACTTTTATGAAGTTTTTATTACTTTTAAGGAAAAAGCTAATGCAGCCATATATAATATATGGAGATCTTTGTTTCACTAGATATGGGGAAAATGAAAAGATTCCGGAGTATGTAAAAGAGAAACTACAGTGCCTCTCTTCAATCCTGGGATTACTAGCAAGTGAAAGAAGGCAGCAAAGAATCCAATAAAGCAGGATGTGAAATGGTGGCGACACATGGGTGAAAGGTGTTTACAAATATTCTTCTGGTATTCTGCACATTTACTTCCAGAGAGATAGAGAGAGAGAGAGATTACCACTTCTTTCAGTGGTTGTTAAGACTCTAATGTCCCTAAAGTTAATGACAACTACCACAAATGCCTGAAAAACTAAATTGGTCCTCTTGAGGTGCAGGAAACTTTCACTTGAAATGTTGAACTTTGCGCTGTAAATAGATTGTTTTGTAAAACTTGTTAACATTTATGGAAGATTCAATTTTTTCTATTACTCATTTGACAGTATATTTTTGAATGAGCCAATAACAGTGGAACAAGCAATGGAAATGCAGATTATCTGTAGAACTGGTTTACTTGTGCATACATTTGGCTTACGTACAATAGAAATTGTATATTCTGTGAGTTTTATTTTGTTTCTGTAAATTTTTATATAGAATCTATATACTGCTGACATGCATACCTTCTGATTTCAGCAATTTGACATCTGTATAGTGTGTACAACTGTTTTTAAAGTTTTCACCCAAAGTTTGCCAGACTGCATCCTGGCCTTTCAACCCTCCCCACCCTCAATTCTTCCTCAAACAGAAGTGGGACTGGCACTTTATATTGTGCTGTACAGCAAACTGAAACTGAAAACTTTTTAAAGTTGTGAGCAAAATGAAAAGAATTAAAATTGAGAAAAATAAATGCTCATTTGTAACTTTAACAAGCAGCAGTATACACCATCCATTGCATTATTGTGCAAACTGTTGTGAATAATGCCAAGAATGCTGTTAGCTCAACTGTATTTGTGTAGTTTTTTAGTTTGTGTAGTTTTTTTAAAAAGTCAGTAAGTATTAAATACTTACTGATTTATTGCTTTTAATGTCCAGGGTCCAGACTTTACAACTTGGTCAGTGGTTGAAAAGTGACATCGCCAGAAGTTGGAGTAAATCTACCAGACAATGACACCAGCACTCGACTGCTGAAACCTTGAATAAACTTGTATTGTGCTGTGTTCTAGGTTAAATTATTGCTTTTAGTTCGAAATGAGGGGAGGGGATACTTAATAAAGGAATTAAAAAGATTTTGTGAAGAAAAAAAACTCTTGTCCTTTTAAGAGTTCAGATGTGTCTTTCTGTGAATTCTGTATAAAGCTGTATATACTTTGCATCTGTACTGTATATAGTCAATTATTACTATGATCTTAATACAAATATATTGTTTTTATGATTTGGTGTTTTTTTAAATATTCCTTGTCCCACACTTCAAAAAGCAGGTAGAGCAAAAGTGGTATTGCACTATAAACATTAGAAGGGATAACTACTGTTTTGGACATGATAATGCACATTGTGTGTTAATGCCAATTTGAGGTTGTAGACACTTAAGGTTCATGAAGATGTAAAGTGCACAAAGAAACAAAAGCCACCACCATGGGGGAAGAATTCCACCTGTGTTTAAATTCTTTATGTAGCACTTCCACATACCAGAATTTGGCAAATTCTTAGAATACAACCTTTAATTTTTAAACTGTTTTCTGTAGGTTTTTTTAATGACAAAAACAGCTCCATAGTTCAAAATGAATTCAACAATTTGCCAATTTCTGCACACTCTAAAATGTTACATGAATTAAATCTAGAACTAGTTGAAACGTCTCCCCACAAGTGTTTGAGGAAAGTTGTGTTTGTTGCAAATCTGCTGAAAGAGCAGGAGGGGGCGATGGTCACATATGGAAAGGTAAGTATTATTTTCTACCCGACTAGTGTTCTATAAACCATATCCAGATATATATTTGTTAAAGTTGCATTCAATCTGTATGGGGTGCAAAACGTGATGTTTCTATTCTCTTCCCCTATACTTTTCCCTAGTCCTCATCGTGGTGGGCAGTTAACCTGTTCAGAACTTTGCCTCGTAAGGTTTCTGATCATAGCTATTTTCAAATGCAAGGATTATTGTTATTATTATAGCCAAAAGCAACTTGTCCTCAGCCTTTTGCCAAAGAGAGAGAATCACTAGCTTTTGTCTCCAGAGTTTGCTTTAAATAAAGAGAATACAAATTCAAAAGCATTGTTTTAATTGTATTTTCAACAATTATAGTGATTAAAAACAATCACTCTAAAGCATACGTGGTGCAACAGCTATGCAGATGTATCTGTTTCTACACATGCTATTGAATGTGATTGAAATATAAGTGTGGTATACAATGTGATTTACATAAAATTTTATGGTAGAGGCTGAATTTCCATAGAGACATTTAAGGCAAACATATTTTTACTTTTCCAAAATGAAGTGAGTTTTGACAAATGGTAATAAGGGAAGAAAACAAGTGAAGATAAGTAAATCTGACCAGTAAATCAACTTAAGGGGCTTTGGTGCAGGTTGGCCGCCCACCTTCGAAGGGCTGAGACTTGGCTCAAACAGAACAAGAATAAACAACATTGAAGTTTCAGCATGTCACCTGAACAAGAAGCCCCACAACAAATGGAAACTCTACAAAGTTTAATTTAATGTGTAATTAGTAGTAATTGCATAGTGCAATCATTTAGATTGCATAAACATTGACAAAAATTTTGTCAATAACTTTCCAATTTTTTTCAGCCCTAGTTGTTTTAAAAAAATTCAGAAAGGGACATTCTTTCATCCAAAACAGCAAAATCTTTCTTGGGAAATGTAAGCTGTATCACGTCACAATTTTTTTTCAGCTCTATTCTGACTGGTCTGCTTCTTTCCTCTCTTGGTGTTGGTGGCTGAGCCTTCAGTTGCTCAAGATCTAGAACTCTCAAAATGCCTTAGCCTCTTGAAAACTCGTTAATATTTTTGATCAACATCCTCAAACCCCCCCTCCTTTCTTTGCTGCTCAGTGATCCCCATTGTATTCATAAAGCTCTTCGAGACATTCATCCTATGTGGAGCTACTGTAAGTGCAAGTCGTTAGACTAAAATATCACCACCATAGTGTTGGTTCAGTTGTTTTCATGAGCTGACCTCCATGCTAAATGATACCAGGAAACCAAATTCCCCACAAGTCATTATTTTTCTGTTCCAGTGATGATGATCTGTTCTCCCTTCATTTATGAGATGAGTTTTAAAAACATTTCCCACTGATCACTAACAAGTTCTTACAATCAGTGTGTGTACTGAAGGCAATATCTTTTCCAGCAATATGTTACATTGTAACAGGAATAAAAGGCTTTGCTTTGAATCTAGTATAAAATGAGAGGTAAGTATTGTACTCAGCAATTAGTGCTTACCCATGGGTGAACCCCATTCTTTTATGGCCTCAGCTGGATTGCTTACAAATTAAAAAGATTGTATTTTTAGGGCAGATTTTAATTTAGGAAAACAGGTCACTACACAATATAACCCCTTATATTGACAGTAAATACAGGTATCCTGCATAAGGATGAATAAAATCTACAAACTCAACACGATTCAAGTTAAATAATGAAATTGATTTCAAATTGGCCAAGTATGGATTGGATCCTAGATCTCCAGTTTGATTCCAGGTCTGTACTTGGTTAACGGGTCTCAGCCTGGGCACCACTTGGAGCATGACAATTGGCCTCAGTGACCTGGATTAAGAGCGTAAATTAACTAGAGTTTTCGCTGCTGACTGTCATCCATTGCATAATGCTGAAAAATTAGATTGTGGACATGAAGTGAAAACTTTGGAGCTTGGCTCGATTTCAAGATGCTTTTACTCGTCTACAAATCCCTTCATGCCCAGCATCTCCCTACATTCTGAACCTGCTTTCTCCCCTCTCCACTACCCACTGCCTCAGCTCGTCTGGTTCTGGCTACCTGCTTGACCATCATCCCCTGCGCTCTACCATTAGTTGCAACATTTTCACCACACCCGAAGCTTTGGAACTCTCTTCCCCCAATCCCTCCACATTGCTCCCTCTTTCCCCTCTTTTAGATCACAACTGAGGACCTTCCTCTTCAACCATGCTTATGGTCAACTCCTCCTGGCTGGGTGTCAGGCTCTACCACTGTCAAGCACACTGAGATGCTGCTTTGCATGAAGGTCGCTGTATAAATACAAGTTGTTGGTTGTGATTTCTACCTTCCGCTCTCCTCCTAACCCCCCCTCCCACCCCACTGAATAATCTGCCCAGCTCATGCATTCTATGCTATAGATTTCCCGGTTCTAAATGATACCAGGCAACCCGCTGAACATATTTAATTCCTAATGATCGAATAGCCCATAAATCTCTCCCATAAATATTACTAAAAACAATACATGAAAATCTAAGCAAACATCCAACATCAAAACATGTTTGTCATAAACATTATGAACCCAAACAATTCTGTTTCCAAACATATTCTTCAGCATTAATCCAAAAAGAAGGGTCTTCGAATACATAGTAGGTGATCAATAGTTTCCACCCAAAACTGAGGTACCGTGGACAGAAATAGGGGATAGAAATAATTTTTAAAGTAGTCCTAGGAGATCCATTCACCTACAAAATACAGTCACTCCCCTTTACAGTAAATCCTGTGAAGAGTTTTGAGACATCCTCCCAATGTGAAAGGCACCATATCAAATGCAAATATCATTATTATTAATAATAATACAAGGTAGCAGTGACATGCTGATGTGTGAAGAGCAGTGATGATACAAAAAGGTCTCTTTGTCAACCCACTTTGCAAAAATCCCTCCTCCCACTCACAACTCCAATCCCAGCGTCAAACCTTTGAGCAGATTATCTCAACACCATTCACCAAATCACAAAATAAGTTTTGCTGAATATGCCCTTTAGCCCGTTCATTCTTCCACTCCACCATTACACCATCAAGCTGTTTCTAAAACGAGTGTTGACTTCAAACAAATCTTCCAGGTGATTGGTTCCAGATGTTTATTCAATATTTTATCTGCAGCCAGGGTAAAGTTATTCGATGAGCAGAGCCTCATGGATTTAAGTATACGTACATTAATTTGCATTTCCTCCATCCCCCAGGAATGCACTAGAAATATGCAGTACCGAGGTAGACAATGACCTTTGGATGAGAGATAAAAATAATCTCTCTACTTTACCATCTACCTCGATTAATTGGTCATTCACCACATAGCTGTTGGTAGACCATGCTCTCATGTTTCCCTACAAAACTAGTCACTACACTTGGCAGCAATTACCTGTGAAGTGTTTTCAAAATATTTTAGCTTGATATGTTATTATAAAGATGTTCTTTCCATTGAACAGAAATACAAGCATGGCCAATACTGCCTGTAGGTAGTAGGTAGTAACTGGGCATTTGATGCTGCAGAGGTCTCTGGAATGGGGCTGCCCATGCTCACCAGATTCTCTGTTGTGTGTGGCCAGGGAATGTTATCGAGTCTGGGAGCTAAGGATGTTTTTTCTCTGATTGACAAAACTTCTGAAGTTCAGCTTCTGGCAAGCCAACCATTTAACTTTAGTGCAAATATTTCAGCACATGAAACCTTATAATACTTAGAATAACAAAACCGTCAATTCCATCAGCTGATGCCAATTTCTCAAAATAAAATCACAGCATTTTAGGTCACAAAATGCCTGCATACCTTTAGAATGAAATGGCTATTAACTTAATTATTCTCACAGTGCATGGTGTAGCTGAGGCTGAACATTCCAATTGAATAGACTGGGTGTGACTTTATATCAGTATAAAATTCATATAAAAAACCTTAACTACAGACATTGTCTTTCCCTCGTACCAAAATATCAACGGTTAGATCATTTTCAAATAAATCAGCATTAAAAAAGTTATACAAACAGATGGTGCAAATTAGAATTCAGTGGTTAGAGCAAATACAAAATAAAATAGCATTACAAATAGTAAGATAATACAGTGTAAATGAAACGTTCAGTTTCTCAAAGTGTATGTGTGTTTAGTTTTTCCTCTTAAAAGTCCATCATTCCTCACTTCTCCCATATCTGGCTGACATTCCGACGATTTTTTTATATGTCGCACCAAGTAGCACAGTGGCTAAAAACACTAGCCCACAAATGATGCCAAATGTCCATCGAGGTCCATAATGGGTATAAACTTGACTAACAAACACTGGTCCAAGTGTGCGTGCTGCACTCCCAGCAGCTGTCAGAATGCCCATGTAAACACCCTAAAGTTAAAATGTCACAAAACAGAAACATACATTTAATTCATTTCCACAAAACAAAACACGATATTGAATTGACCTGAAAAAGGATTCCAAACTTTTTTCTCATCTTAATTTAAGATTTCTATTCATGGGTTTTCTTATGGCAATTTGTTTTCCTACAGCTTGTATTTAGGGTGTTTAACTTGAGGGTAAAGTGTCTGTGAATGGTTGTCACAGAGACATGGAATGGATTATCCCACATATTATGAATCCCCTCTTCAGGAAAAGGAATGAGTCACATCCTTATTGGGGTCTGGACTGCAACCATGCAACACAAGGACTGTTGGCACTGCTACTTGGCAGGATGTCATTCCTTTAACGTTTATGGGTAGTATTCAGCCAATTTAATGCCAAAAATGGCTATTGGGCTCACTGGTGGAAATAGAAAATAGCTGCATGAGATGACACAAGTGTTTCTGCTGATGAATTTGATGCTTTAGTGGCGATATGTAACTTGCCTAAACGTCAATGTCTGAACACATCCCTCAACCTAAGACAAGAACCTGTCTGAGTTCAGAACCTCACTACATGGAGTTGGCTCTCATATATTCTGGTGTTCTGTGGCACAGCAGCCTGGTGCATCACGTATTGCATCACTCTACCATGCTGGTTTGATGGCTGCATCATTTTTCATACAGGTGTGAAATATCAATTCTGAGACAGTACAAATGACTAACTGTGACCACAGAACATAATCGCTTAAAGTAGAATAAGAACAAACAAAGTTGTGGTAAAAGCTGAATTTAGAACTGTTAAAATGCACTAACATAGTTACTAGTTGTAAGCGGTTTCATCTCCACATTAGATATTCAGTTTGGTAAAAACAATGCTTTTATTTACTGCATTTATAGCAATATATCAGCACATTTGGATATGTAAATAGCCCATCCTGTCTCACCTGAGGCTTTGATCCTAGAATTTTTGAATACAATGTGTAGGCCATAACGTGACAGACTGGGTACCCCATGCCAACCAGGATTGCAGAGAGGATATACTGAGCCAAATGGATGACGGGAATATACTGACACCAGAGCTGCTGGATGGGGCAGCCGACTGACTCGGATGGGGAGTTGACTGTGGACCTCAATGCCACATTCTCCATCGTGGTGGATGATTCACTCAACAATAATTCAGCTGAACTATTTTTCATCTCTGTCAATGACAACAAAACAACAGCAGTTAAGCAGGTGATTTAGGAGATTTACTGCATGTTATACAGGTTGCCCGTGAGTTAATAATAACTGTGCTTTCAGTTCCCTTTCCCCTCCCTACCCTCTCTTGACTCCAAGCAAGTGGTCCATCCAGCATTGTCAAACACGTCCTCCCAATGTGAAAGGCGCAATCTGAATTGCATAAAATTATAATTATAATTGCATTTGATATTCTGTTGTTGAAAAGTCTGAAAGTAGGATTTAATATAGAGTATTAACATAGAGTGTGTATTTTCTAGGCAAACACAACATCCAATTTGCAGACATCAATGTCCCACAAACAAACATGAGGTGAATAACCACTTTTATTTGGGGGAATGTTTGTCAGGAAACCAGGACAAACTCACTTAAAGTTAGCAATAGAATGTAATGCAGATGGTCCATTCAAAATACCATAGCATCTGTTCAAAAATGTGTTTACTATATAATTTACTGGCATATCCATAATTTTCTATTATTTTTACTACTTTATTTTTACTTCTATATCTTTCTATTATTTCTTCTAAGCCTAAACATTTTGATATATTGGAAGCTAGAATTGGACATTTTGCAATGTCTGTGGTTAGTCTTAAAATAAGCTTCCTTGCAATAAAAAGGGTAACTTTGGAAAGGACTTTAAGGACTTTAAGGTCAAGGATATGCGACAAGTTAAAAATCTCAAACATGCTACAACCTGGGTGGCCTATAAAACAGAAAATGCTGAAACTTTCAGAACTATTTGTGAAACAAACACTAAAGAGGTTGCTGCTCAAAGCTCAAAACTGCAGTAATAAAGAACTGGAGATTGAACTAAACTAATCACAAAATCCAGGGTGCGTTACCCCAAAGGTTAGTGTATTGACAATCAGTTCTGCAAATAGCGAATGTATACTTAGCAAGCTCACTTTGCCCTTTCTACAGAACTATCAAACGTCAAATCTCAACTTGACACTCTAGTTCTGGATGATAAACTAACAACATTATAATATTGCTCCCCTCGGTGGCTTGTGTCCTATCAATCCCTTCATTGGTCTGTGTTCCTGCATTGTCAGGTCACCACTGATGTCACTTCCAGCTTGTAGTGCTGATTATTTTTATTTTAGATCTCACCATTGTTGGTTGCAAGTAAGCGAGGCCAGGATGTCTATTCTTTCATTTTAATGATGTTTGTGATATTATTGTGTAGTTTGGCTCAACTGGTAGAACCCATACTTCTGGGCCAATTATTGTTTATATGCAGTACTGAAGGGTTGCTACATTGCTGGAGTTGCTTTTTATGAGATGTTATATTGAGATCCTCTCTGCCTGTTCTGCAGTAAAAGATCTGCTGGAGTTTAACCTGTTAAAACCATGTAGCTTACCATTTTGAGTAAGTATTATCCATTTACAATAAAGTGTGTGAGTTAGGATTGAATGGGCAGTTTCAGGATTCTGCAAGTTACATAAACAGACCGCCATAAACAGACATCAGAAACAGTGACTGCCAGGCATTCTTTTCATTTTGTGAAAAAGTATGTTTAAATAAACGTGACAACACTGGTTCTTTCACATAAAATGAAACGATGGTCACAATTACTGCTAGCAAGATATCAAAATAAATCAACCATGAAGTTATTCTTACTGAGTTTTTAATTGCATGCAAATTTCCAGCACCAGAGGCATCAGCAAATCATGTCTGCACCAATGATACTTCTGCTTTTTAAAGTTGTTCTTTTCATGAATCCTACTTTCCCCCATGTCCTTTATTATTTTACTTTTCAAGGATGCCTTTTGAATTATTATTGTGGAGTCCTGTTAGAGTAGTGTTAGTCAGTGGTTAGAGTACTCGCTTTGCAAGTGAGAGTCCTGAGTTCAATTCCAGGCAGGGCGAAACCTTGGGCAAGTTTCCTTATTTCACACGCCTAATAATAATCCCTCCAAAAAAACAAAACAATAATAAATTGGTCATTTTCAATCCATTGGCTGCCGCGTTCGCCCACAAATATATAGTCAATTCACTTTACAGTATATTCTGTGAAGCACTTTGGGAAGTCTAGAAGACGTGAAAAGCGCTATATCAAATGCAAGGATTATTATTTATTATTCAAAATTATGATTCTATTGATTCAGCCTCACTAGCCACTGATGATAATGAATTGCAAACCCTCTGAGTGAACAAATGCCTTGTTACTTCTATCCCAATTCTTCTGCTAACAATCTTTTGACTATTTGACCTTTGCCACCGATTCCCCAATCAAAGGAAATAGCTGTGTTAAGCTCCTTTTATGATAGTTAGACATTTTCAGAAGTAGGTCACCACCTTTTTGTAACCACTCTGCTGAACGGACTCACAAAGCAATCTTCTGAAGGCAATGAGGATATTTACCTCAAATAATACAGAAATAATTTCCTCTTTGGACATCTGAGAAAACTTTTACCAATTTCACCATTTTACTACTTTGTGCAGCTGAGAGAGCCACATTAATCCCACCCAAAACTCCCCAAACCATTCAGTAAATTTCTAATAAAAAGAAGTTCGACAGCAATGAGTACATTGTATATGTTTACAAATTAATTGTCTGAAAGGAAGAGACTTTACCTGCCCACTGGATCTTGGGGTATTGGTTCCCCCATGGCAACAAAATAAAAAAGGCAAGAAAATTAATCATAAATCCTCCAAGAAGCATCAATCGTTCCCCAATCCTGTTATAAAGGAAAGACAAAGGGCATTGTACTAAACGTGTGTTCAATCCAAACACAGGACAAAGAAATGTAAATTTGAGACAGAACAATGATGTGGTGGACAGAGCTGCAGTTTACAGACCAGGTTAATTTGAATCCCGGTTCATGTTGCATTTGCTGATGTCAGCAAAGGGAGGAAGTGGGGGTTAAATCAGCCCAGGCCATCCCTGGGTGAAGGAGGTAAAACCAGACTGGGTTCCTGCATTTTGCCCTGTTCATCACCCTTTACTACGAATGTGCCACAGTTGAGTGGGCTACCAAGGCTCACGTACAAACAGTAGCTCAGCCAATGGGCAACCAGTGCCTGTGGAACCACATCCCAACCTAGCAAGAGGGGTCAGAGCAACAGGTGAGAGGCATTTGCCAATGGGGAGAAAATTAGATCATACTAATTTTTTTTAAAAAACAGAAAAAAAAAGTAAATTCTCTTTTAATGATGTATCATACCTCTTTGATATAATTTTTGATGCCATGAAAACAACCATGGATTCTATACCAATCCCAGCCAGGAGAATCCCATTGTACAGCACTGCCTGTTTCCCGGTCCAGGCATACATGTCCATGGTTAATGGAGCTGATATCCTGCAAAGGATTCAAAAAGAAAATTATTTTCCTTATCAGCTGATCCAAACGCAATCTATTTCTATATCAATAACTAAAGTAATTTGAGGATAAACAAGTTTGTTTTTAAAACATGGATTTAATTTTATACTAAATCACTTCTGATTTGCAGGTTAGGTTGACAAGTTAATATAATAATAATCCTTGCATTTGATACAGTGCCTTATCACATTGTTGAGACAATTCAAAGCGCTTCACAGAATATATTGTAAAGTGGATTGACTGTGTATTTTGTGGACGAAAATACAGACTTTGCAGAGATGTCATACTGTATACATGAAAAGGATCCCATGGTTTCCTGTAATCATTTTCATTATTATTTAAGGGAATATGTATTTGACATAGTAAGTACAACCTGGTGACTTAGCTTAACAATTCCTGTGAAAATTTGTAGATTGTGCTAACTGTACGAAAATATATACTGTATGGCCTTACTAAAGATTACACACAATATGAATCTTTTTTATAATCCCTACAGAAACATATCACATAGAATCATCTGAAAGTACTTCTCAGTTTTCTGTAAATGTGGTGATTATGTGTACGTGAATCTGGCATCAAATTTGTATATAGAAATATCGCACAAACAGCCATGAAGTGAACAACCATTTTTTAAAATCTGGGGATAAATGGATACCGATAGAAACTCCCTTCTCTTTTCTAATAGCGCCATGAGGTCTTTAATGTCCAACTGGACGGGCAGATGTCCATCTGGACAATAAGATGTTGGGACCTGCAAGACATCACCCTGAATCCTGTGTTTGAGTTGTGCAGGGTACTTCATTTTTCTTTACTTTTATTTTTATTATGGAATGCAATGCTTTTGTCCGACCCTGTTGCTTGGTCCCTAAGTATTGCAAAATAGCTTCACACAAATAATAAATATTAAAAACGCAGGGGTCATGCAGGCACAATAGAGCTAAATTGAGCAAAGCAAAGACAATGACTTTACTTAAGTAATAAGAGTACTTACGTTTCAAACACAGCAAACACGAAAAGGATGATGAAAAATAGGATATTGGATATCACTACAGCAATCCCATCAATGTCGCCCAGACATTCTTCAAGCAGCTCAGGATTTTCTGCCCCAAATCACAGCAATTTACTATACACAACATCACATCCATACTTTAATAATTACAATACTGTAATAATTTGAAAGTTAGGAAAATCTGAATGATGGCTACTGAAACAGTTACCTTCAGTACTAATATTTATGCTTCTCCCCAAATCGTCAATATTATGTTCTCTGCAAAGGAAAAGCATCATCATGTTTATGTTTAAATGAAAGACACATTTTATTTTCTCTTGCTAATTTTCTTCTCCTCCCTTGAAGATATTTGACTTTTTCACTTAGACTGGGATCCTGATCCACAAGCACCAGCCATGATGGGTTTCTGCATGTGCCAGGCACCCGGCTGACCAAAAAAAAATAAGGAAAAGCAATTGTTTCTAAGCAATTGGCCATGAAGAGGTTTACCACTACTGTTAGAAAATAATTAATTAAAAATAACTTGATTTATACATTTAACAATATTGAAAGAGCAGGATGTAATTTTTTAAAATTTAAAAGCACAAAGTGCTAATAAAGACTAAACCGCTACATCGTAAAGCCTGGAAAAGTTTTCTTGACCAGAGGGAGCAGTGACTCTATAGCTATAGAACACAGCGCAAGATTTGTGTTCTGTCATGAAACATCAGTGCTGTTTTAGAATTACCAGCAAAATCTATAGCAGCAATTCCAACTGATTAACAATTACATTAAGAGTTACTGGATGCCTGGAAGTCACAGCGATCTTGGCAAGAATTTCAAATTTACATCACAAACAACCAAAGATCACATGGCTTATAACCATTCCTCCGTATCGGGCCTGAAATTAGTCTTAAAAGTCAATGGACCCTTCAATGTAACACCCGAGAGCTCACACGAGCATAGTTGTTCTACTTTGTTATGGCTACTCAGCCGTCCTGCCAAGCATAAGAACATAAAAATTTGCTAGGCGAAAGAAGACCACGGTCCATCTAGTTCAACTTCCACCATCCTGGGCGTCAGGTTCAACCCCCAATTATCCTTCCTCCCCCACATCGAGTCCCTCACCAGCACCGCTTTCTTCCACCTCCGACGCATCGCCCGTCTCCGCCAATACCTCTCCCCAAAAGCCGCTGAAACCCTGGTCCATGCCTTTGTCATCTCTCAGCTGGACTACTCCAACGACCTCCTCGCCGGTCTCCCCTCCACTCCACTAAAATCTAAATCATTCAAAACTCTGCCACCCACATTCTCACCCGCACAAAACTCCGCTCCCCGATCACCCCAGTCCTTGCCAGACTGCACTCGCTGTCTGTTCCAGAGGATCGACTTCAAGATCCTCACTCTTATTTTCAAATCCCTCCCCTCCTCTGCACCCCCCTACCTCTCTGACCTCCTCTCTCCTGAAAACAGTGCCCGTTGCCTTTGTTCCTCCGGGTCTGGCATCCTTCTTGTCCCCCGAGTCCTCCGCTCCACCCTCGGTGGCTGTGCCTTCAGCCACTATGCCCCGAGGCTCTGGAACTGCCTTCCTCACTCTCTTCGTCTCGCTCCCTCCCTTCCCATTTTCAGGTCTCTGCTGAAGACCTTTCTTTTCAACCGCGCCTTTGGTCACCTTCCGTCCCCCTTCCCTCTGGCTCGGCCCCGGGTTCCGTTACTGTGAAGCGCTTTGAGACGCCGCCCGGCGTAGAGGGCACTATATAAACCCAAGTTGTTGTTGTTGTTGGCAGTCGCTTGACATGTCGTGCCCCAAACTATACACTGTATCCTGAGATATTATTTTCTAGCAGAAAGCATCCAATGGACAATGGGCTGGAGCTGTCCACATTGCCCGCACACTTCCCTCAAACGCAGGTCCCAGAGCTAAAAAGACAATGTACTAACACTATTCCACTAACTATTCCCCCTGCAAAATCTGAGCTAATCGATATTGTTGGAGTGGTAGGGGGTACTTAAAATGTTCTATTATTTTTTAGTGCTACCAAACTATCCAGTTGCCAAGACCACCCAATCCCAAGCCATTGCAGCTCGTGAGCCAATAACCAGGAAATAGGGGAGTTTGGGCTGGGAAACTTACTCCACTTGCCAACAGCTTCCAGATGAGATGAGCAAATCATCTTATTTTGATGGATATCCACATCCTCCCACCTTGTGGTACAGCACAATGGAGCACCCCTCTTCTGTGTCACTACAATGTCTAAAAATCCCTGACTGTCCAGTGCCCTGGGACGTCTTTCCGACATGAAGGGCACTATATAAGTGTAATTTGTTGTTGGTGTTGTTGTCATGTCCATTTAATGCATGAACAAGCACTGGAGTTGCTTGTTAGCACAGTATGAATCACTATTGGGAGTGTTGGAATTCCCAAATCGTCTAAGAGAGGGAAGGATAAATTCCCCACCTACCGGCTGATTGTAAAGTAGAATTGTCAGCGTGTCACTGGTGTGAGTGAGTATGTGGGAATGATAGGCTCAATACAAGAAAGAAAATACCTGAAAGAACAGGTTAGAGAAGCCCAAACCTGGCATTTTAAATAGCTAATAAAATTTAATGTGGAACTGACAGCAAGATATATTTATTAGCGAAGTTTACGTCTGTGACTGTCATGCAACGTCAGTAGAATGGACCAACCTTCCATATTTACCTGAATAATGCAACGATAAGCACAATGTTTACAATTCCTAGGAAAGCTCCGAGAAAAGCTGGGGCAGTGTACATGTTCAACTCAAGGTCAATCGCCTTCCAGGACACTCCCGTCTGACCAATGCCTGTCAGCGCCGTCTGAAGAGCTGAAACAACAGTAAAAAACAAAACATAAAATAATCCTTAATAATCCTTGATATAGCACCTTATCACGTCTTTGAGACGTCTCAAAGCACTTCACAGAGTATACTGTAAAGTGAATTGACTATATTTTGTGGGCGAAACATGGCAGCCAGTTGTACACAGCAATGTCCCACAAACAGTTGTGGATCGATGTGACCAATTTTTAAAAAAAAAATTGAAGGAATTATTTCCCCCGGAAAGCGATCGGCCAATCAACTAACAACCGGGATCCTACTTACTGCTAGGTAAACAGAGGCGAGTGGAGTAAAGGAAACTTGCCCTGTCGGGAGGTCTCTCATTTGCTAGGCAATTGTTCTAATCACTGAGCTACAGGACTCCAGTAAATAAAATAAGCAACTAAGTATCCTTATGTCCATTAACACTTATAGTACAGCAACTGTATTCTGTTATTAAGCCTCAACCAAAAATATTTTATGTGAAGATTGAATGTTGAAGACTGCGTTACTGTAAAAATAAACGTGAGGCACGGGGGTAAGGCTGCAAGGGTTCACTAAACATAACTGAAACAACAGTTTTTTATAAATATTAATAGCAGTATATTTGCCACCCATCTTGATCTTTGTAGCCTTGGTAACAATTGAGAAAATGCCCAATTAAAGAGAAAAATATAGGAGGCATAGTTTCTATTTAAGAATCTTCCTAGTTATTATATATTAGATTAAATTATTACAGTTAGACAATACGGTGTATAGGGTTACAAATAAACCTTATACAGAAGAATACCCAATACCTAACTTTTGAAGTGACCATTTGTGGATATAAAATAATTAGATAAACAGTCAATCCACTTTATAACAATAATAATAATCCTTGCATTTGATATAGTATATTGCAGTATATTCTATGAAACGCTTTGAGACGTCTCAATGACGTGATAAGGTGCTATTTCAAATGCAAGGATTATTATTATTATTAGATATCTGTTTGTGGCACCTTGCTGACACAAGTTACTGTCATGCTTGCCTGCAGAGAGTACACGTGATATTAATTACCTATGATGCTTTTGAGCTGTTTTGACAGGATATAAAAATGCAAGTTCTTTTTCTCTTTCAACATGCACATCATGAGCTTGAGTGTCTCTCCCAGTAAGCCATGTGTCATACTGAATGGATATAATAACTTGCATTAATGTAGTGCAATTTGTATGAAAGAAAATCTCAAAGCACTTTAACACAGAGTGGTGAACAGCGAGGTGACTGAAGTTATAGATTAATGTTGAGTAACAGCTTTATACTACTCCAAATAGGAGGTCACTTTGAAGCTAATGTGATCCATAAGCGGACTTTCTTGAATAGAACTGAATAGAGTGAGATAGAGTGGTTAGTCCTTTGTTCATTCCACATATGCAGATTTCACTGTATTACTGGACCCAGGTGGAAGATTTGCGTGTGGTACTTTTCTGAAATACTTAAGATTTATTAATAAACAAGGCAATTTTACAATTTACATTTCTATAGCACCTTTCACGTTGAGAGGACGTCTCAAAGTGCTTCACGCTGTTGGCTGATCACCCAAGCGATGAAGGGGATGAAGGATGAGGGATGAAGGGGAAAGTTGACCAAAAATGCAATTAAAGAGGTAATCTTGGAAGTCGGAAGGGAGGAGGGGAGTTGGAGGGACTCCACGAGGAAGTTCCAGAAAGCAGGGCTGAATGGCTGAAAACTTGCCTGCCGATAGTGGGGCAGAGAGAATGGGGAACTTTACACATTTAGAAAGAAACTCTCAAATTTCAGGAATCCCTTGGATGCTATGCTGGAATCCCGGGATGTCACTGAATGGGAGAAGGTGGTTGCATATTCTCAGGTACTGTGCATTCCCAAGAGGAACAAGCTGCTACGGAGGGGATCAGCAAGGAGGGGAGACACGCGATATAATCAGAAAAGGGGCCAGAGTACGGGTGAGAAGGGGAGTGAAGCTGGTAATGTTAGTTTGTAAACAAGAACTTTAATCAGGATAATAATAATAATCCTTGCATTTGATATAGTCCCTTATCACGTCTTTGAGACATCTCAAAACGCTTCACAGAATATACTGTAAAGTGAATTGACTGTATATTTTGTGGGAGAAATATGGCAGCCAATAATAAGATAAACTACAAAGTGTAGTTGTGACAATAGGTTTATCATGAGTGCTCAACAACTTGGAAGACATACTTTTACTTGAGTTTTGTTTAACACTTAGCCTGAGATTCTGGACTGATACCTTGTGATGCCATGTTATAACTGAGTTTCTCTATATTGTGCACTCAGTTCCATTTAAAATGTTTATTTGATTAAGTGAATTGACTGTATATTTTAACTGGAGGAGGACGAATACTCTTGACTTATGAACTTTACAAGAAAGTGTTTGCTAACTGCTGTAATGATCAAATACATGTTTGACATCCTTACCTGGTCCTAGTATAAAACCCAACGCCTGGCAGGCGCTCATATTTGCCATCGCACTGGTCCTTTCCTGAAGTGAGGTCGCACCTGAAACATATGATCGGACCACAGCCACATTTCCTGAAACAAAACACAAAGAAAATGGGAAGCAGCACTTTACAGAACGTTTTTATCCCCCCCACCACCACCCCTCGGATCCCAGCTCAGGTGCCCAGCCAGCAGTGTCAAGCACTTTTAGACCTCTTCCAGACATAAAACGTGCTTTAAAAATATGAATTTTATTGTATTTTTAAGCAGTAAAATATTGTTTATGATACAAATGAAACTGAAATACTCAGGGAGGGCCAAGATAAAAACTGACTCATTTTGTAGCTCTTTCGTTCCATGCACATCAATATTTTTAACATTCACATTAGATTCATTAAATTTCACTTTTATTCTTAAAGAGAGGTCTCCTTGGAGCTAAACTGGCTCCAAGGTGACATGGTTGGCAATGCAATGTCAGAATTGAGCCAACCCTCTGTGGTGGTCTCCAGTTCGGTTCCTGAGCTAAGCGGGTCCTCAGTACTCCAAGGCACTGCTGATGACAGCACAGCCCAGCCTGGCTCACCGGCAGGACCTGGAAGGGCAGACCAGTCACTGGGGGCTGGGACTCTTCTACTCTTGAATCTCCTCCATTCTGCACAAAGGCAATTCTGTTATAGCATTTGGTTAAACAACAACAAAATGACATTTGTATAGAGCAGTTCACATCAGGAGGACGTCCCAAGACGCTGCGGTCTTACCTGCTCCAAATCCAACAAACGCTCGAGCCATCAGCATGAAGTACTTTTTGTGAGATGGAATAGCGCTTACATAGGCATACAGCAAGTTTGCCATTACGTTGATCAAAATTGAGATAATAAGCGGTTCTCTTCTTTGTCTGTAATTGGACCATAGACCAAACAATGGTGAAGCAACCATTTGCCCCAGGCTGTACGCAGCAATAACCCATCCCAGAAAGCTGGAATCTGCAGTTGTATCTACCTGTACAAAAGGAACATGTGTCAGATTACAGGATTTTCTGTAGGAAGCTCAAAACATGTGCTACTGTATCAAATTTTAACCTTTCACTGTTACTGCAAAACAGCAGCTGGTCATCTTTACCCAAGTTATTTGTCATTCAAAGGTATATTTCCTAAATTCCTCATGTTCTTAGGTTTAAGTCCATTTTCTCCAATTCAACTAGAAATTTCGCAGTATCAAGAATTGGAGAAAATTGTTTCCAAATTAAAACTAAACATTGGTTTTGATTTAAATTCAATTTCAAGGTCCTCACCTTCAAAATACAATACAATGGGCTGGGAGCTTAAAGGGTGGGAAAGATGACTGATAGCATGGTCAAAGAGGTTTGTTTTGAGATTAGTCTTGAAAGAGGGAGGGAGTGTTGAGATGAGACATTAAACAGAGGTCTGCCTGTTCAAATGGATGTCATGCAAGATCCCATAACATTAATCAAAAAGAGAAGGGAGTTTCTCCTGGTCTCCTGGGCCAACAATCCCCAGAATAAAATTGGAAATTCATGTCAGTTGTTTGTGGGACATTTATTGCGTGCAGATTGGTTGATGCCTTTGCCTATAGATTACACTTGACTGTAAATCCTGTGAAGTGCTGTGTGATGTCCCAATGACAATTTGAAAAGGTACTTTATTAAATGCAAGACTTTATTAGTTTTTTATCATTATAATAGCAATTAGACTGCTAGGTTTTTGAAGCCTCACAACACTCATTGTTGGTGCTCAGAGATCAATGAACATTTTTCTCAGAAGTTCGTCACCAGTGACAAGCATCATACAATTCAAAAAGTAACTAGTGTAAATAAAGAGTCACACAAACAATTGTACAACTTGCATTCATATAACATATGCATTATATTAGCATTCATATAGGAGGGAGGAGAAGGGAGGTGACTATTTGGCACAGTCACAGAGAAAGGTTTTAATGATACTTTTAAAGACAGGAGAGAGGGCAAAGCAAAGGTATTCAAGGAGAGAGTCCCAGACGGTCGGGCCATAGTGATTGAAGTTTCGGACACTAATTAGAATCCTGAGAGAAAAAAAAATGAAAATCACAAACCTTTAGAAGAAATGGCCATATTGAGGAAATTACAATCGAGAAACCTGCAGAGAAAGAAACTATTTACCACATGTGTCAAACAGGGTATACAAATATTTACACAGACTGTACAGCATGGAGACAAGCTATTCGGCCCATCAGGTCTGTACCTGTGTTTATACTCCACACGAGTCTCCACCCATTCCTTACTCCCTCCCAGACCCTTCTGTTCCCTGTACTTCATGTGGCAAAGACCATTTACTGCAGTTGTTTCTAAAAGTAAGATATATGTAGATATATATATATACATATATTTCCTTCTCTTTCCGCTTTCTGGACTAGTTTGCCTTCATGCCTTGTGGATGGGTGAGCATCCTATAACCTAGTTTCCACACATGCTCCTCTTGAAGCACATAGTGACAGAGGCACAAGATTGGCCCACTGATAACTTGCCTTTTCATTTTCCCCCCTTCCCCTGCAGGATGACACACAACTTCCACAAGTACCTATCTCCTTTGCAGTGCAGAGTGTATTAAAGCACCTCCATATAGAGCTTCAACATGCCTCCCTTCAGGATACAGATTAATAGATTCTTGGTATGTATTGAGTTGGCCGATCTCAGATAAAGCAGAGGTTAAAAGTGCTATATTTGTCCTCCTAGGGTTAAGATGAGACAAATGAATGAGCCAAGATTCCTTGCTCCTGAGCACAGAAGAGTGGGTGTGGGTGTCAGGTGAGAGGATACAGTCCAAGGTGCAATTCAGATGCCAACACTGACTGTCTAAACTCAAACATGAAAACGGTTCCAAAGGGAAGCTGGCACATGTGAAACAATTCAGCACAGCAACTCAGCACTTTCAGGAGAGGAAGGGAGGGAGGAAAGAGGCAAAAACAAAACTGCATGTTTATCACATGTGAAAATAAACAGTACTTTTAGAATGTCACAATATGGTGAAGTTAAGCACGGTTTAAGGACTCGAGCTCTCTCTTATCCACAATTCCTTACAGAACGAGTTCTCAAACTCAGATGTTCCGTCTCCACAGAGATGGGAAAATAAATTAATAGATGTGAACTTTGTTTCTCTTAAAGCCAAATCGGAATCACCACAAGCATTGGTACTCGGGAATACTTGAGGAATATTATCTGCTCATCCTTTCAGACCAGAAATATTGTATTGAGAAGTGTGTGTGTGTGTGTGTACGTAGTGGTGGGGGGAATAAGGCAAAATAAGTAAACAAAAATGTGACAGGGAAAGAAGAGCAAAGAAACATCTACAAATATTGAATGAAAAGTGTCACCCACATGGTTTAGAGAAAAGCAACTTCCTCTTCACAAATCCTAACACTGCAGAGCTGAAGTGGGATCAAACGTGAACATTTTTATTGAATACACTTTGCAGGATTTAAATGCAATTCGAGATCTCAAAACATTCCAACGATAGTGTTTCAGCACAATCACTTGTGGGCTAGTTTCTGTACAACTGAGCTTTATTACAACAACAACAACAACAAGATGCCTTTCACATCGGGAGGACGTCCCAAAGTGCTGGACAGTCAGAGTTTCGGATCCGAGCTGGAGGTCGGGTTTGGAGGGCAGGGGGGATGCAGGATGATCGAAGACGAGGGTCTTGAGATGGTTCTTGAAGGAAGCAAGGGAAGGGGCAAGGTGGAGGAACTGTGGGATGGAGTTCCAGAGGGTGGGGGCAGAGTGGCAGAAGGCCCACCCGCCAATGGTGGGGCTTGGAAGGTGGGCGATGTGAAGCAGGCCGGAGTCCGCTGAGTGCAAAGAGCGAGCAGGATGGTAGGGGGTTAGGAGGTCGCAGAGGTAGGGAGGAGCAAGACATGGAGGACTTTGAAAGTGAGGACCAGGATCTTGAACTGTATCCTCATTGCGACGGGAAGCGATTGGATTCGGGCAAGGATGGGGGTGATAGGGTCGTGGAGCCTAGTGCGGGAGAGGACACGGGCTGCAATGTTCTGGGTGATCTGCAGCCTGTGGAGGGAGGAGTTGGGGAGGCCGACAAGCAGGGAGTTTGCATAGTCGAGCCTCAATGAAATGAAAGCGTGTATGAGGGTTTCAGTGGCCTGCGGTGTGAGACAGTGTCGGAGCCGGGTGACGTTGCGGAGGTGGGGGAAGGTAGAGCAGGTCATGGCACAGATGTGGGGTAGAAAGGATAGTTGAAGGTCAAACAAGTCGCCAAAAGGAGGGAATATCACTTTAAATGGGAGTGTTTTCCCCTGACTGCAATACCCACCTATACTACTGAGGAACATCGTGATGTACATGACCCGGATTGACCTCCAACGGCTGTGATGATCCTTCACCGTTTCAACCAACACCTGTTCACTGCAAAATAAACCTGTCTTTAAAATCATCACTCATCTCTGTATACTTCATCTTGCCTCATTCTACTTGGGATGGGAATCAAGTCAGATAAATCAGCCCATTCATTTGCACACAACACACACAAGTTCAAAGTCTAGACCGACACCACAATGTAGTGCTGGGCGACAACTGCATTGCCAGAGATGCCGTCCTTCAGATGAGATCTGAAACTGGTGTCCAGGCTGCTTTTTCACATAAATGTTAACGATCCCCTGGCATCATTTAAAAGAGAAGTGAGTTTCATCAGATAAAAAAAAATTGATCGTTCACTTCATGGTTGTGGCAAATTGTTGTGCGCATAGTCACTTTACAGAAAAACTCTTACTAAGGAACTACTGTTTATCCATCTGCTTCCCCACCTTAAGGATTGATGTACATGCAAAAACACGCAAGGTTGAAACATACACGCCAGTGGATAAAGAACCCTGGACGGGTATCCAAATAAGAAATTTGTGCTTGAAAATGGCAAACTCTGGGATAGCCTCATACCTGTGATTCTTCTGTGTATAAGAGCTTCCACCTCTAAACCTACTGGGTTTGCCCCACATGAGGTTGTGACTGAACGGTCCATGAGAATGCCTGAGCACTTATGGTTGATTGAAATGTCCACACCAGAACTGCAAGACATGGACTGTCCTCTGGAAAGAACCCAATCTGGAAACCCGTTGAGGGCTGGTTGAACTGTGGACACGAGGTAGACAGCGAGGGTCTTTTTAAATGTTAGCTGGAAGGACTGTCAAACTCTCCCAGAAAAAGGTTCACCACCAATCAATGCTTGATTTGTCTGACGTGGTTGCTGCTTTATATAGTAAATATTAGATATTAACCATAGTTCTTCTATTATTTGGCATGTGATCAATAATTTGGAATTGATTGTGACCCTTTCATGTCTACATTGGAATTATTCATGCGTCTCGGTTATAACACCCTACAGCCTGCAACTCAGACTTCACGTAAGTCATGTTAAATGTTACGGTCCTGATTGATACGATTTATGTGAGTTTTACTGTATACAGCACAGGTACTGAGCCAAATGGATATACAACACATGAGGATTTCTGTAAACTGGTATTATTGTTTTAAGTGGTTTGTGATTTTTGATCAAAAGGCATTCCGATCGACACCACACTGCTGCTAGCTGATGATCCACACTGCTGTCAGATTTCTGACCTCTATAATGCCCGTTCAAGATTGTTTCTCGTCTCACAATTTCTGACAGCTTCTCGTGTAACAGCAATCCTTATTGATTCAATGTATAGAGCAATGTCATTACTGATGTTATGATTAGCTGGAAGAGATATCAATAGGGTAGAGGGTTCAATTAATAGTTTAGCTTTTTGCTGCCATTTTCTATGAAGCACAGACATCCTGAATTTGCTGGATGTGCAAACGTGAATGACAACTTTAGCTCAATGTTCAAGCCTTTTTGTCCAACATTTGTGTCATGTAATCTGGACAGATCTTTAACTGGCTTAGTTGATCGGGCTTGTTTAGAAAGCCATTGTTGTCATTCATAAGCATGTTGAAAGAAAAATGCAGTCACACACAGAATGTGCAAAATAAACAAAATTCTATTACAGTTTAAGAAAAAAAATTGTCTAAAAACAAAAAAACACTGCATTGACTGTGGTACAGTGCACATTGGCTGTGCTGGGTAACACTTTCAATTCAAGCAGAGCACATTATTATGGGATGTCGATTGTCTGACTGGGCACGTGACATGGATCTGAATCTCTTTTTCTAAACAACAAAGTAAACTTAAAGTGGACTTCGCAACCAAGCACAGTGCAACTCTAAATATTGTCGTTTGTTAAAATGTAGGATCCAAAGAAAATGTTTGAACTTTTCAGTGGTAGGTCTGCGTGGTTACTGTGATACTGTTACATGGGTGGTGAATTACATCTAATTTATAATAAAATAATAATAATCCTTGCATTTGAAATAGCATCTTATAATTTATTGGGAAAAGGAGTTGACCAGAAGCCATTAGACCACCAAACAAGAGGAAAAACTATCTATCAATGCCAGTGATATCAAAACGAGGAACGTCCACTGTATAAAAATGGAAAGTGAGCTCCCCTTCCCCTGATGGTCCAGTGGAGAGGACTAACGTAGCATGAAGTCTCACAGAACAGAAGCTTCCATGTTCTCAGTCTGTGCTGAGTTAACTGATCTTGGGGCTGTACTAATGACCTCAGCGGCCTGGATTAAAGAAATACAAATCACCAGTGCTTTTCTCTCCTGACTGCTGTCCAGTGTTGGCAGAGTACGGGTGAGGACAAGGCCAATTTTGACTGCTTCTCCCCGCAGTGTGACAACCTGCTGTCACATGGCTTCACAACTAATGAAGCAAGTCGCTCCATATACATTTACAAACTGGCTCATAAACCTCCAATAATTAACTTCCGTGTCTCTAGTCCTTCAAGTGTACATTCATACTTCTCTTCAGCATACAACTGCGTAGCAATGGTGGTGGAGTGGGGAGTAAGCGGGTTGGAGAGGTATGGAGATGGCAGGGCATGTGAAGGCACTGGCAGCATCACCATCCAGGGATGCACGCTCCACCTCACTGAGCCAGTCTGGAACCTTGGCGTCATGTTTGACCCTCAACTATCCTTTCTACCCCACATTTGAATCATGATCTGCTATGCCTTTCCCCACCTCCGCAAAATTGTCCAGCTCCGCCACTACCTCACCCCTCAGACCGTCGAAACCCTTATCCATGCATTTGTTACATCTAAGCTCGACTACTCCCTGCTTATCTGCCTTCCCAACTCTTCCCTCCACAAGTTGCAGATCATCCAGAACTCTGCAACTTGTGTCCTCTTGTGCATGAGGCTCCGTGACCCTATCACCCCCACCACCCCAGAGGATACAGTTCAAAATCCTTGTCCTCACCCTTAAAGCTGTCCATGGCCTTGCTCCTTCCTACCTCTGTGACCTGCTAAACGCATATCAAACTGTCCGATCCCTCCACTCAACAGGCTACAGACTGCCCCAACATCGGCGAAGTTTTGTGCAGGTGAGAATGCGGGCAGAGGAGTTTTGAATGAGTTGGATTTTGTGAATAGTGCAGGAGAGGAGACCGGCGAGGAGGGCGTTAGAGTAGTCCAGCCGAGAGGTGACAAAGGCATGGACAAGGGCTTTGGCAGCTTTTGTGATGAGGTATTGTTGGAGATGGGCAATGTGGCGGAGGTGGAAGAAAGCGGTGCTGGACAGGGACCAGATGTGGGGCAGGAAGGATAACTGGGGATCAAACCTGACGCCAAAGTTGCGCACGGGTTCGGAGAGTTTTACGGATAGGTCGGGTGGTTGAGGAGGTCAAAACCGTGTGACCGAAGGCATCGGTGGGATCCAGAGTATGGGTTCCGTCTTGTTGACGTTTAACTGCAGGAAATTTGCACTCATCCAGCTCTTGATGTCCAACAGACAAGCTGACAGAACAGGGGTTGGGGGTTACAGCTGGAGGTGGAAAAGTAGAGTTGAGTGTCATCTGTGGAAGTTAATCCCGTGTCTGTGCATGACATCACCCAGATGGAGCATATAGATGGGAAAGAGAAGGGGGCCAAGGATGGATCCTTGGGGTACCACGCAGGTGACAGGGTGGAAGCGAGAAGAAAAGCCATTTGCAGAAATGCACGATGTGTACATGTCACCTGTAAGGGGTACACACGTCACTCGCACGGTGTGTACACGTCACCCGTACAGGGTGTACATAGTAATAATAATAATAATAATCCTTGCATTTGATATAGCGCTTTTCGCGTCTTCTAGACATCCCAAAGCGCTTCACAGAATATACTGTAAAGTGAATTGACTGTATATTTGTGGGCAAATGCAGCAGCCAATTGCGCACAGCAATGTCCCACAAACAGTCGTAGATTGAAAATGACCAATTTTATTATTGTTTTTGGTTTGGGAGGGATTATTATTAGGCTCAGTGTAAGGAAACTTGCCCAGGGTTTCGCCCTCTGCCTGGAATTGAACTCAGGACTCTCACTTGCAAAGCGAGTGCTCTAACCACTGAGCTACAGGACTCCACGTCCTGTACGTCCATGTCACTCACATGGTGTGTACTTGTCACCCGTATGGGGTGTACACGTCACTCGTACGGTGTGTATATGTCACACGCAGGCGTACACAGCATGCGTCACACGCACAGAGCATGCGTCACATGCACAGGACATATGTCACTCGCACAGGCCATGCATCACACACACAGGGAATGTGTCACCCGCACAGGCCATGCATCACACGCACAGGGTATATGTCACACGCATAGGGTATATGTCACACACAGAGTGTACATGTCAATGCACAGTGTACATGTCTCTCGCATGGTATATATATGTCACACAAAGAGTGTACATGTCAATGCACCGTGTACATGTCCCTCGCACAGTATACATATGGCACACACACAAGATATATGTCACACACACAGTGTATATGCCACACACAGTTTATATGTCACACGCACAGCATATATGTCACATGCACAGGGTATATGTCACATGCACAGGGTATATGTCACATGCACAGGGTATATGTCACACACAGGGTATATGTCACACACAGGGTATATGTCACACACAGGGTATATGTCACATGCATAGGGGATATCTCACACGCAGAGAGAGTATGTCACACACACAGGGTGTATGTCACACACACAGGGTGTATGTCACACACACAGGGTGTATGTCACACACACAGGGTGTATGTTACACGAACAGGAAGAATGTCACATGCACAGGGTGTATGTCACACACAGGGTATATGTCACACAGTGTCACACTCACAAGGTATGTCAAAAGTACAAGGCATATCTCACATGCACAGAGTATATGTCACACACACAGGGAATATGTCACACGCACAGGATATATGTCACACGAACAGCGTTCATGTCATACACAGTGTATGTTACACGAACAGTGTGTATATAAAACCCACAGGGTATATGTCACACACACAGGGAATATATCACTAGCACAATGTAAATGTAATACACAGAGTGTACACATCACACGCAGTGTACATCTCACACGCACAGCATATATGTCACATGCACAGTGCATATGTCACACACACAGCAAAAATGTCACACACAGGGTATATGTCACACACACAGGGTATATATCACACACACACAGGGTATATGTCACACACACTGGGTATATGTCACACACACTGGGTGTATGTCACACACACTGGGTATATATCACACACACAGGGTATATGTCACACACACAGGGTATATGTCACACACACAGGGTATATATCACACACACAGGGTATATATCACACACACTGGGTATATATCACACACACTGGGTATATATCACACACACAGGGTATATGTCACACACACAGGGTATATGTCACACACACAGGGTATATATCACACACACTGGGTATATATCACACACACAGGGTATATGTCACACACACAGGGTATATGTCACACACACAGGGTATATGTCACACACACTGGGTGTATATCACACACACTGGGTGTATATCACACACACTGGGTGTATATCACACACACAGGGTGTATGTCACACACACTGGGTGTATGTCACACACACAGGGTGTATGTCACACACACAGGGTATATGTCACACACACTGGGTGTATATCACACACACTGGGTGTATATCACACACACTGGGTGTATATCACACACACAGGGTATATGTCACACACACAGGGTATATGTCACACACACAGGGTATATGTCACACACACTGGGTGTATATCACACACACTGGTGTATATCACACACACTGGGTGTATATCACACACACAGGGTATATGTCACACACACTGGGTGTATATCACACACACTGGGTGTATATCACACACACAGGGTATATGTCACACACACTGGGTGTATATCACACACACAGGGTATATGTCACACACACAGGGTATATGTCACACACACAGGGTGTATGTCACACACACTGGGTGTATGTCACACACACTGGGTGTATGTCACACACACTGGGTGTATGTCACACACACTGGGTGTATGTCACACACACTGGGTGTATGTCACACACACCACACTGGGTGTATATCACACACACTGGGTGTATATCACACACACTGGGTGTATATCACACACACAGGGTATATGTCACACACACTGGGTGTATATCACACACACTGGGTGTATATCACACACACAGGGTATATGTCACACACACTGGGTGTATATCACACACACAGGGTATATGTCACACACACAGGGTATATGTCACACACACAGGGTATATGTCACACACACTGGGTGTATGTCACACACACTGGGTGTATGTCACACACACTGGGTGTATGTCACACACACTGGGTGTATGTCACACACACTGGGTGTATGTCACACACACTGGGTGTATGTCACACACGGGTGTGGCCGGGGTTGGGCACTGACCTGGGCTGCCGGGCCGCGGGGATGAGGCAGCTCCTCTCATCAGCCTCGGGCTCCGCCATTGCGCCGGCGCTTTAATTAGAGTCAGCAGCCGCCGGTCACACTGACTGCCCGGGGACCACCATCAGCCGCACACACAACAGCCGCTGCTGGTGTCACGCAAACAGTCCGCGGAGAGCCCGAACCCGAGTGGATGGTTCCCCCCCAGTGTGTGTCAGTGTGCACAGCCCCTCCCCCCCCAGTGTGTGTCAGTGTGCACAGCCCCTCCCCCCCAGTGTGTGTCAGTGTGCACAGCCCCTCCCCCCCCAGTGTGTGTCAGTGTGCACAGCCCCTCCCCCCAGTGTGTGTCAGTGTGCACAGCCCCTCCCCCCAGTGTGTGTCAGTGTGCACAGCCCCTCCCCCCCAGTGTGTGTCAGTGTGCACAGCCCCTCCCCCCCAGTGTGTGTCAGTGTGCACAGCCCCTCCCCCCAGTGTGTGTCAGTGTGCACAGCCCCTCCCCCCAGTGTGTGTCAGTGTGCACAGCCCCTCCCCCCCAGTGTGTGTCAGTGTGCACAGCCCTCCCCCCCAGTGTGTGTCAGTGTGCACAGCCCCTCCCCCCCAGTGTGTGTCAGTGTGCACAGCCCCTCCCCCCCAGTGTGTGTCAGTGTGCACAGCCCCTCCCCCCCAGTGTGTGTCAGTGTGCACAGCCCCTCCCCCCAGTGTGTGTCAGTGTGCACAGCCCCTCCCCCCAGTGTGTGTCAGTGTGCACAGCCCCTCCCCCCCAGTGTGTGTCAGTGTGCACAGCCCCTCCCCCCAGTGTGTGTCAGTGTGCACAGCCCCTCCCCCCCAGTGTGTGTCAGTGTGCACAGCCCCTCCCCCCCCAGTGTGTGTCAGTGTGCACAGCCCCTCCCCCCCAGTGTGTGTCAGTGTGCACAGCCCCTCCCCCCCAGTGTGTGTCAGTGTGCACAGCCCCTCCCCCCCAGTGTGTGTCAGTGTGCACAGCCCCTCCCCCCCAGTGTGTGTCAGTGTGCACAGCCCCTCCCCCCCAGTGTGTGTCACTGTGCACAGCCCCTCCCCCGCAGTGTGTGTCAGTGTGCACAGCCCCTCCCCCCAGTGTGTGTCAGTGTGCACAGCCCCTCCCCCCAGTGTGTGTCAGTGTGCACAGCCCCTCCCCCCCAGTGTGTGTCAGTGTGCACAGCCCCTCCCCCCCCAGTGTGTGTCAGTGTGCACAGCCCCTCCCCCCCCAGTGTGTGTCAGTGTTCTGAACAACACCAATGATGTGAAACACTTGTTCCCTGGGCTGTGTAAGATGGATTTTCAGACACCAAGTCACTCTCCTGCATTAAGGGGCATTAAGAACCCGAAACCCGGGAATCCGAAAGAGCATCAGGATTACATCCCCTGGTACCTAAAGTAGTAAAATCCTACTAAGAGCTACTTTTTTTTGGTCAGCCGGGTGTCTGACACATGCGGAAACCCATCACTGCGCTTAAGAGTATCCAAACCAACCTGAGATTTCCATGTGTCCCACCTACACATGGAAATCCCAGAGATAGGTTGTTGGAATGGAATTCTCTCTCTCCCTGGAGGGACCATCCTGTTTACCTAATTCCTGAGAGTATTGGGTATAGGTTGGCAAGAGCCAAGGCTTGTGGACCCAGAGTATAGAGTCTAACCAGCTAAAATCACATAGCTTGCCATTGATATTTCTGCCTGACAAGCGTTCCTGTTGCTTGTCCAGCTAGGACCACTATACCCGTTAGGGCATTGGCTTGCAGGGTTAACAGGATAAGGCATCCAGCGAGTGTGGGTTTGAGCCCTCATTAGCTTGATGGTAGCGCAAAGCGCTATGAGACAGCCTTCCGACTTAAAAGGCGCTATATCAAATGTAAGGATTATTACTTTTTATGTATGTCCCTCCACTCCTCTGCACCCCCCTACCTCTCTGACCTCCTCTCTCCTCACAACAGTGCCCGTTGTCTTCGCTCCACCAGGTCTGGCCTCCTCCTTGTCCCCCGAGTCCTCCGCTCCACCATCGGCGACCGTGCCTTCCGCCACTATACCCCGAGGCTCCGGAAATCCCTTCCTCACTCCCTTCGTCTCGCTCCCTCTCTTTCTATTTTCTGGTTTTGACTGAAGACCTTTCTTCTCGACCGCGCCTTTGGTCACCTTCCACCCCTTCCCCCTAGCTTGACCCCGGGATCCGTTACTGTGAAGCTCTCTGAGACTCCGTCCGGCGTGGAGAGCACTATATAAATCCAAGTTGTTGTTGTACTAACATAAAAACTAACAACTGAAAATCCAGGATTCATTGAAGAAAATCACGGGATTACAGGCTGAGCCTGGGTAGAAGGGGAGAACAGGTCTTTCCACTTGCAATGCAGTCGGCAGGTGTTTAAACCATTTGCCATTTATCTACCCAGATACAAACTCTCCATAAATCCTTTTGTATTGTATCTCTCTTCATGCCACATCTTGTTTTATCATACAACATAGTCCAATCAGCAAAAATGAAGACAGTCTTTTTAGTGTAAGCTCATAAAGGTCATTAATAAATAAATATAGCAGAAGTTCTGCTACTGATCTTTGTGGATATCTAGTAGTCAGTGCTGCACACACAGCTTGAAATAGTCTTACATATTATGCCTGCTGTACTATCTATTGCCAAGATGATTTTTTAGTTTGCACTTCAGTTTTGCTTGTTTAAGCGTGTCAGGTTGGTTCAGTTGGTAGTACTCTTATTATGGGATACAGGTAGTTTGGGACATATGTGCATGTGACCACCAGGAAGGTGGAAGGCAAACTAGATGGACCTTAGTCTTTTTTCATCTAGCATTTCTTATGTTCTTATGACTCAGAGGGTTGTGGTTCAAGCTCCACTTCCCGGCACCTCCCTCCACAAGCTGCAGGTCATTCAGAACTCTGCAGCTCGTGTACTATCCCGCACCAGGCTTCGCGACCACATCACTCCCGCCCTCGTGCTCTACAAATGCAATCTTGTTGTTGTTGTTGTTGTTTGTGAAACATTGCTGTCCACCAATTGGCTGCTGCTTTTACCTACAAATAAACAGTCACTACACTTCATAAGAAAATCCTGTGGACCCCTTTTAGACATCACAACAATGTGATATGCCTCTATATCAAATGCAAGTATTCGTATCATATCATTATTGTGTAACCTAAGAAATGTTTGAAAGCTACCAGTAGGTGGAGCAACCGTTTCCAGGTAAGTGGATTTGCCTTCTTCCAGCTCATTCCCATTGCTGTTTATGCAATAGATAATTTGTAATAATACAGTAGTTATTTTGAATTGCTAGTTACAACTACTAATTTGTTTTCTGGGCTTGAACACTCCAAACAAAATCTCCCCTAGAAAGGCAACCTTTACACAATAGACAGGCTCGGGCAGGAACTGGGATACAGGACCAATTAATCTAAATAGTTGTTGGACAAAAAAAAATTTCAAACTATTTTACTGGAGAGTAATAATTTTCATTTATTGTACAACGTTTTAGTACGTTAAACCAATTCTACTGAGTTATAATACTATGAACAGTGTTGTTGGGTGCAATAATTGAGAGCAGTGTTATGTTACTAGATGTATTGATAGAATTGGTACTGGGTGCATTGACTGGGTTGTTACTGAATATATTACAGTGTACAGGGACTGGATATATTACAGTGTACAGTGACTGGGTGTGTTACAGTTTACAGTGACTGGGTGTGTTACAGTGACTGGGTGTGTTACAGTGTACAGTGACTGGGTGTTACAGTGACTGGGTATATTACAGTATACAGTGACTGGGAATGTTACAGTGTACAGTGACTGGGTATCTAACACTGTATAGTGACTGGGTGTTACAGTGCACAGTGACTGGGTATATTACACTGTACATTGACTGGGTATATTTCAGTGTAAAGTGACTGGATATATTACAGTGACTGAATATATTACATTGTACAGTGACTGGGTGTGTTACGGTGACTGGGTGTGTTACAGTGTACAGTGACTGGGTATTACAGTGACTGGGTATATTACACTGTACAGTGACAGCGTATATTACAGTGACTAGGTGTGTTGTGGTGTACAGTGGTTGGGTGTGTTATGGTGTGTGCTGATTCGGTGTGTTACGGTGTACAGTGGTTTGGTGTGTTGTGGTGTACAGTGGCTGGTTGTGTTGTGGTGTACAGTGGCTAGGTCTGTTATGGTGTGCGCTGGTTCGGTGTGTTATGGTGTACAGTAGTTGAGTGTGTTGCGGTGTACAGTAGCTGGTTGTGTTGCGGTGTACAGTGGCTGGTTGTGTTGTGGTGTACAGTGGCTCGTTGTGTTGTGGTGTACAGTGGCTGGGTGTGTTAGGGTGTACAGTGGTTTGGTGTGTTACGGTGTACAGTGGTTGCGTGTGTTGGACTACGGGAACTCTCTCCTCGCCGGCCTTCCCGGCACCTCCCTCCACAAGCTGCAGGTCATTCAGAACTCTGCAGCTCGTGTACTGTCCCGCACCAGGCTTCGGGACCACATCACTCCCACCCTCGCTCGCCTCCACTGGCTCCCCATCCCCCAGAGGATCGAATTCAAGATCCTCATCCTCACCTACAAGGCCATTCATGGCCTCGCTCCCTCCTACCTCTCCGACCTACTATCCCCCTACCCACCCGTACCCTCCATTCCTCTGGCTCCGGTCTGCTCCACATCCCCCGCCCCAATCGCCCTACCATCGGTGGCCGGGCCTTCAGCCTCTCAGCCCCTCGGCTCTGGAACTCTATCCCCCAGTGCCTTCGCCGCCTCCTCCCTTTCCTCCTTCAAGGCCGGTCTCAAGACCTTTCTCTTTGACCGTGCCTTCAGCTCCCCTCTCGACTCTCTACCCCCTCCTCGCTCCCTCCCTTCTCTCCCCTCACCCTGACCATTTCCCCCCTGCTCGGGTCCTGACCCAACTGTACAGCGCCTTGGGACGTCCTCCCGACGTGAAAGGCGCTCAATAAATGGAATCTTGTTGTTGTTGTTGTGTTGTTGTTGTGTTAGGTTGTACAGTGGCTGGGTGTGTTGCCCTGTGCGCTGATTAGGTGTGTTGTGGTGTACAGGGGTTGGGTGTGTTGTGGTGTACAGTGGTTGGGTGTGTTGCGCTGTACAGTTGCTGAGTGTGTTACCGTGTACA